TCATCTTCAAAAAGGGGGAAAAAAGATGAACCTGGGAACTACAGACCAGTTAGTCTGACATCAATCTCTGGAAAAATTCTGGAGAAAATTATTTAAAAATTGGTCTGCAGGCCCTCTAGAGAAAGCAGAGCCAACATGGATTTATCAAAAAGCCAACCAAAAAAAAATCCTGTTAGACTAATTTAAACTCATTTTTTTGACTGTGTAACCTCCCAAATAGGCAGTGGGAACCAACCTAGACTTTAGCAAAGTTTTCAACATAGTGCCCCACAACATTCTGATAAGAAAATTAACAGAAACTGGACTAGATAGAAAAACTATTAGGGGATCCAAAATTGGCAGTTAAATCAGACCAAAGAGTGTTCATCAATGGCACCTTCTCAAACGGGATGGAGCAAACTAGTGGGGTGCCAAAGGGTTCAGTCCTTGGTCCAGTGCTCTTCAATATCTTTATTAATGATTTAGATAAGGAAGTACAGGGAATTATAATTAAATAACCAAATTTGCAGATGATACAAAACTGAACAGTGAACACCCTAGAATGAAGATCCAGGGCCATCCTGATAAACTTGAATGCTGGGCTGAAAGCAACAAAATGAAATTCAATAAGGACCAGTGCCAAGTCCTCCACCTGGGAAAAAGAAATCAAATGCATCATTACAAGGTGGGGAATACATGGCTCAACAGAACTGAAAAAGAAAAAGACCTCAGAGTAATTGTGGACAACAGGCTAAATAGGAGCCAACAAAGTGATGCAGGTGCAAAAAGGGCAAATGCTATTTTGCGATACATTAACAGAAGTATTACTTCCATATCATGAGAAGTGGTAGTTCCCCTATACTCCTCACTAGTCAGACCTCACCTGGAATACTGTGTCCAGTTCTGGGCACCAAGATTTAAGAAAGATGCATAAAAATTAGGAGGGGTCCAGAGGAGGGCAACAAAAATGATCCAGGGTTTAGAAACACTGCCCTATGAAGAGAGACTGAGAAAACTGAGTATATTCAGCCTTGAGAAGAGAAAGCTGGGGAAGGGGGGATGATATTCCTCTATAAGTACCTCAAAGGGCATCACGAAGAGGAAGGTCAAGATCTCTTCTTGCTGATACCAGAGTGCAGGACAAGGAATAATCAATTCAAGTTGCAACAACCCAGATTCAGGCTAAATATCCTCACTGTCAGAGCAATACTACAGTGGGACCAGTTGTCTAGAAAAGTTGTGGGCTCTTGCACACTAGAGACATTCAAGGCAAAACTGGACAGTCATCTGAGTGAGGTGGTGTAAATTTGTGTTCTGTAACAGCAGGGGGTCTTTCTTTCTTTCTTAAAAGCTTTTCTATCCCATCCCCTACAGAATGTCTCAGGATGGCTTACAATAAATAAGTTGGGTTGGACCCGAAAGCCTTCATGGCCCCTTCCAATGCTACTATTCAATTATTCTCTTGCACAGCAGAAATGAGTCTTACAGCTATGGCTGATTCAAACCATCATTTGAAGAAATACTCCCTTCCTCCATTATCTGCCAGCTTCAGCACAAAGACCCAGTTTTATATGAAGTGAGAGTTCCCTATCACATCTGAACTGGGAACTCTGGCTTTATGCTGGTTAACAAACCAGGAAAAATGCCAGGACCATTAAGCCTTTAAGCAAAGAATTTTACTGCTTGTATCCTTCTGGCATCTAACTAAAAGTTTCCTCTTGTTAATTGAGCTGAAGACACAGTCAGTGACTGCTTGTGTTGTGTGATGTCAGTCTACCTTCAGTTAACATTTCCTTGCCCTAACACTAGGTCACAGAAAGGCACACGCACAAAATTGAGTTTTTGCATTTGGCTTTTGTGTGCAGTTTTTTATGCAGTTGATTTATCCTTAAGTTTAAAAATGCATTATATTAATGCTCAGACCCTATTGACCTGAGCTATGGCATTAGAAAGCAGTTCAAGTGTGAGTTCTAACAAACTCTGGCTCAAGTTAAAGGAAGGCAGTGGGAATAAAGTGGCAGTGTTAATTTAGAAATAGTCCCTCACAGTTTTGGTATAAAATAAGTGAAGAGGGATGTACAATGCCAAATCTCCTCTACAACCATGGCCATCATTTTTCACCCGCCTTGTTGTACTCCTCTGAAAACAATACAGAACTTTCCATCTTTAAATCGACCCCCCAGCATATTTCCCTTCTTTGGTTCCCTGCTACAGTTTTGTGACCCAAGAAGAATTGGGTTTTTTAAATTGGTGTTTTCTGAGAGCTTGAAAATTAGAGTACTGCTTAAAACCATAGAACCCAAATTTCACATACAGAGTTTTTGTAGGTTATGGCAACTTTTGTAAACTTATTCTCTAGACTGATCTCACTCAGTCCTGCCCTAATTATGCCACAAATGAATAAACACAGGGGGTTGTGAGGAGGCAGACATATTAGCTTTTGTGGACATATTTACCAGGCTGAATAAATAGCTCAGAAAACCAGAAAGAGACCTCAAAATGTGCACAGTGGTACTTGGACTGTTAACATGCCTTGTCACTGTTTCAATGAAGATGCAGCTGAGCAAAAAGGCAGGTTTCAGATTTATGACATGTGCAAATATCAGAACTGCTGCCTTCTCAGCAGCTTGGAGTGCATGTAGCTATCTCTAGGAACAGACCAAATGGATCAACTCTTTGCAGAGTTCATACAGTTGGCAGCATTCCAAAGTTCAAGTTTTGCCCTGACAAATGAAAAAGCTGGAAATGCAAGGGATTTCCAGCCCTGGGGTCTTTTGAACAATTACATGAGTAATGCTGCATGTTTTAACTTCAAATGCATCACTCAAAATAGTTCAGGGGAGTTAAAAGAGTGCATGGTTATATTTCTACAGCCTACATTAATGCAGGAAGTTCAGGTTAATCTTTAGACTGAAATTATTTGCAGGAAATGCAACCAAAAATGCCCTCTAATCAAGGTTTGTATATAAGTACTTGCTGTGTAGCAACAGAAAACAACAAATTCTATTCAGGTGACCAAGTGGGTTAGTCGGAACGATTGCTCCATTCTTCCTCTACCAGAACTCTTGATTTCTGTGCTGGCTACAGAGGACATACAAACACAACAGTCCAGTAAAGAAGGGTTGGATCATTCCATCCCATTTGCCAAGCTGCTCCACTTCCCTCCTGGTCACCAAGCAAAGGACTTCCTGCATTTCCCAGCTGGATGCAGGGGAAAGCAATCTAGTCTCTCCACAGCAAGCAGGGAAACCAAGAGAATTGGTGGAGAAGGGACAGAAGACAACTTCTTTTCACTAGTTTCCTAATATACTGATCAGTCCACAGCAGGTAACCCATAAGGCAAGGCAGGCTGGTGGTTGCAGCACCATGGAAAGCTCCAAGTGAACAATTTGCTCCAATACTAAAGGTAAACTGAACCTATAAGTCTTTCCTTTCAGTGTAATGCCCCTTAATTCCATCTCCTTTGCTTCAAGAGTATGAAACTTCAAGAGTATGTCTGCAAGGATCCTGGCCCAAGTTACACAGGCTCCTGGCACCTAGCCTCAAATTCATCAAGAACCTGAACCAATCCCACCAGCTGACAACCACAGATTCAGCTAGTTCATCTTCCTTCAGTTCTCAGCTTGAGGCCGGTGAATGACACTTAAAAGGCTTGGGCTACTAATACAGTTGTTTGGGATAGTAACCCACACATCAGGCTGTTCTAATCATGGTCATATATGTGAACATTTAAACTAGGGAACGTAAAACATGCACCCAGACCAAGACTGGGAGAATCCATATTTTGAGCCAAGCTGAAAGATGAATGATACAGTTCTAGGAGAAGTAGCCCAAGAGACAATCAGGCTAAGAAAGCTCAAGAAGTGGCTTGAGGCAAATTAAAGGAGCGGGGAGAACTTAGATAGTGAAAATAGTTCATCTTGTTGTGCCAAAGATGGGGGCAGAAGCAAGAAAAGTCTCCTGGTTTTGTTGGGACTTGGGCAACTCAGCCATGAGGAAGATAAGAGGAAAGCTGAAGCAAAGGGATTTTGGCTGCCTTCTACCACCACCTAGTGGTTTGTCATGGCAAAATGAAGCAGCTGATAATCGGCTACTCCCTATGTTTCTTTCCCCAATTACAGAAAGCATCTCTGAGAAAGGTATTTACGGATGGACACACACAGCTACCTGTTTACAAACACATACCACTGGCTCTTTAAATTATGTATACTATAAAAGGTAACACAGTTCCTGGGACATACCACTGCTGTAAATAAACTTTCCTTCTTTAGGTCATTTTCTAGGAGTAAGAGGCAAACATCAAACAAAAATGCACAGGTTGTACCTTCATGTCTTTGAGGCCATTCTTGTATCCAGCTTTCTTTTCTCCCCTCATTGATAATCCCCAACAGCATAATCTGGATTACTTTTACAAATGATGGAAAGAAGGGCGGGCAGAGTGCAATTTTTTATTTTTCTATTGTTTGGAAAGAGTGGTGTCCAGGCCTTATTGTGCCATCCAATTAGACAAATAAAGAATGGATGATGGAGAAGAAACGATTCCCTCTTTCAAGCATGGAAAACAAAAGTTGTACTGTGCCATAATTACAAAATCCCTATTATGATAGAGTTTATTTTACTTCTGTTCTTGTGGTCTGCCTATGTCTTGCACAAGACAAATTAGCCAGCTAATTTTATAGTACCTTAGTTAAAATCAGAGAAACTTAACTGTGGCTTTATTATTGCCATCACCATTGTCATAACTTATGGGTCCTCTCTCTAACTATCCCTTTATTGGGAAAACAACTGGAGTGTTCCATAAACTATATTATACCTCAAGGGTCATCCAGAGTGAGCAAAAGCAAAAGATCCAAAGGAGGGTTTTTTTTTGGGGGGGGGTATAAAAAGTAAAATGTACCTTTTCACAGTTCTAACATTGTATTTCCCAAAGGATGGCCATGTACTTCCATTTCTTGTACAGCTGAAAGTGAATGCAACAGATACCATCAAATTCTGAAAACTATTTCACCTGCTGTGCTTACCATTCTGTTCCTCTAACTCATTTCCAATTTCTTGTCCCATCTGTTTTTGCCGGGCTAAGATTGAAGAGAGGGCATCGAGACCAGCATCTTGCTCTGCAAAGAAAAACAAACAAGCCCAATAAAAATCGTAGCCTCCTGAAACTAAATAGCAGATTTATAAGACACAAAGGCTGAGCAAAAATATGAAAGCATGCACTGAAAATGTTAAAAGATACTGACACAAGGACACTTCATCAATGGCACCATAATGAATCCCAAACAGCCAGGTCTTAAAATCAGGGTAAATGCTGACAGTTGCAGGAAGAAAGTTTAGCCAAGAATCCCAAACCTTCAGGAACTGGATGTGCAGCTGCTCTTCAATCATAAAAGCACTAAACTTTCTGGCACACTCAAGCAGTACCCTGATTAAGCCCTTTTGATTTTTCAAGGAAGGTTTAACAGGACTGAGAAGCAAACAGGTGATGCAAGCAACAAGGAATCCAAAGAGTTCTTCAAGCTACATGTAAATGCAGTGTTCATGGGAGAGATAATCCAACTTTTGGCAGAATGAGCAAGCTTAGCCACAACACAAGCCTCTCTCTAACCTTTCACAATACCCCCTATGGTAATTTGGAACACATGGCAGTACCACACCTTGGATGCCAAGGCACGGAATACATTTCAGTTGTGCTCAGCTCTGTTTTCCACAGGACTCCTCTTGCTTGCCAGTGTAGAGTTATTATTCCCACCTCAAAAGATCTTACAATAACTACTATGGATGGGCTCTGCAAAAAGCAAATTATTATTTATGGATGCATGTGGGAAGAATCATGTGCCAACAGCTGTTTAAACAAAGATGGCAAGAAATTAAAGGCTGACAGCTCAATTTATATCTCCTTACAGAAGTCTTCTAACCCACACTTGGACTACACTTGTCGGCCCACTGAGGCAGGTTTGAAATGCACCATGTATCCAAGAGGTTTTGCAATACTCTCTAAAAGAGCATAAAGTATTTATGGGAATTAAGGTTTCAGGCATCATTTTGCATACATGTGACATGGCAAAGTATCACATGGTAATTGCAGCTGGTGCATGGGAGAGCTTTTCTATGCTCAAAAAATTTAAGTAAAAAGGGATTGACAGCCCATGGCATAAAAGAGCAGAGCAATAAAAATGAAGAGCCTGGGATCAACAGAGATATAAGAGAAGCATAAATGGACTAGATGCAGAAGGAAGCCCTGCAACTGGAAAGGAAGCTACCTAGTCATTTCAGAGACTAGGGTAGCTCTAGGTCAAGCCAACACAGCATGTTGCCCAACAAGCCAAAAACAGCCAGGCCAATAGCAGAAACACAGTTTCACAAGCTGTGCAGGCCAGCTGTATGCTCATAACGATGTAACCGTCTAAGGCAGGGTCCCTGGGTGAACCCAGAAGATCGTTGTTCTTTCAAGTATACAAAATCTGCTGGATTAAGAAAAATTGTTATCCTGATATGCAGGGCTGGGTTTCAATGACACTTCCCCATCTGAAAACAGAGGTAGACTAGAGCTTACTGTTAAGAACTTTCAAGATATTCTGCCAATGATCACAAGATGCAGAAGACCTGCAAGAGTCAGGCACTGAAACTCCACTTGCATTCATACCCTTGTGTCTAAATACATAAAGCCTCTTAAGGAATTCCAGCTGGGTAAACTAGTTCCTAGCTACTCACAAAAGGTATCTGCAAATACTAACTGCAAGACTCCCCTAGAGCAAAGACAAATATTTATCCAAGGACTCAAACATTTTGAACAATCAGGGTCAAAGTAAGTTGAATACAGAAAAGTTAAAAAGAAGAAAAAGCATTTGATGGAAGTTTTTTTCTGATCCAGGTCACTGGACTATAAGGAGGTAATCTATATCAGTGGTATCACCTATGAGGCCTATGCACAGTCTCTGGGATAAAGCTAAGATTTAAAGCAAGGAGGATTTACCTTCTATAATGCTCTGTTGCTGCTTCTGGATATCATGAAAGCTAAGCCCTCTTGTTTCCTCAGGCTCTTCCACAAGCCATGGGTTTGTTACACCTCGTCCAATACCTCCTGCCATTAGGCTAGACCTAAACATATATAAACAGACAAACAAACAAACAAACTCAGCACTACTATCTGTGAAGGGTCGATTTTCTGCATCTTAAACAGATTGGGGGGAAGAATCTATGGGCAATTTTCCCACATTTTAGAGGCCATTATAAAAAATCACAGTATGTTCTCCCAATATGCTATGCAAAGCATTTAAATTAAATAACAACATAGTACTTTCTGATGAACAGTCTTACTGCCCAAACATAACATATTATAAAGCAATCAAAAACCTGAGCTTGAAAGCTTTGCATTTTGGAAATAATGAAAATATGCATTACTATATAATTCTTAAGTCCATACGTTCTAATTTGTTTATTAGGCTAAGTCAAGTATCACAAAAACATGTTGTGATCTTTTCTGTCAGAAGAACTGAATAGCTCTTGTAGAGCTGTTAAAGCAAAGAAATTAAAACCTGTGCATTTCTGAGAGAGTAAGTTCCACTAACTTTGGCTGTACTTTACTGCTAAGAAAACACTTGATCTGTCTGCCAGCCATTCAAAAATATCAGCATTTGATAGTTTTTCTAGAAAGTATTTTATAGAAAACACTAAGAACCACCTTTCAGCATGACTACAAAACTGAGTTCAGCAACACAAAGTTTTTGACATTTCGGTATGAAAGACACCCCACCTTCTGGCTAAAAATGGAAGTTGCACAGAACCCCTCTAGGTTAGGTCAAATCGGTATCAGAGATCTCCAATTCCACATATGCCAAGCTGCTTATCTGGTATATTGTCTCTCAATTACGCCATTTCTAAAATATTACTTTAGCTTACATCTACAAAGAGGCTGCCTTAACACAAGTGCTCCATTTTAGATCCAATGATAGTCATCCTCCAGATCCATCAAATGTTTGGCAAGGAGAACATTCCTTCCTTCAAACACGATCAGGCATCCATACAGGGTACAGTGCTCAAACAGGCCATATGCACATTAAAACCAATGTTTTAGACCCATTTTGTGTAGTCCATATCCCAGATAAATATTCAGGAATCCATTTCAGGATTTGGGGCTATACACACTTGGATTTATTCACATTTGTCCTAAGCTAATATTACATCTTCTCCATGTACATCTAGTGAATTTGGAAGCACAGAAGGTATTTCAGGGAGGCAGAAAGGAAAGGCATCTTCTTTCTCACCATACAAGAACCTTTCCTTGCATAGCATGCTTATGCTAGGTCTTGTCATTAAATCTTGGTTAAGAACCTTCTTTGCTCACTAGTGAGACTGCACAAGAATGTAGGTATTGAACTGACTGGACTATGGGTTCTTCTCCTTATTAAGATAATTTGAATTTTGACATGGTCTTCAGACTACGGACACAAAGAGCTAAGAAGTGACTTCTGAATTCATACAATGCTTCCTATGTCAACTCCCTCCTTCACTAAAAACCATGGATACATTCTATACACCAGTTAAATGGTCCAAAACAGTACTTTTTATACTGATCTGAATGATTCAGATGAATCTAATGAAGCAGGCGGGCTGTGCCTTTGAACGTAAATACTGCAAGACTTTTAAATGTCAGAGTCTCCTTTGGTTTTTCAGCTGCAATATACAAGGGAAAGCAACCCTTCTGAAACCTAAATTATGTTGGGTCCTAAATAATGAGGACCCTTGATAAATCTAAACACCAGTCTTCATGGTTATGTACAACACATGAAGAATAGCTAAGTTAGAGCCAATATTGTTAAGTTGACAATATTGTCAACAGGTCATCCATTGTAAATGATAGGGTCAGAGAGACCCTGAAGAACACATAGTTGCCTGGACTCTCTCAAGGTAAAAGTATCCACACTTACAAAAAAATCCAAAAAGATCAGTCTGAAATGTTCATACTATTAATTACATGGACAAATAAGGACTGAAAATGCGGAGATGGACACACACAGAGACACACATAAATGGCTTAAGCTAGAAGATTGTTGAATATATTTGAGAGAGACTAGGCTTTTGCTTTCCAGAAAAGTCACCAGCCATACTATCCTAAAGGCCATTTCCTTACCCCCAGAAAACAAATCTTCAAATTAAAAGGAAATACTCCCAACGATACAGTTTTGGTTTCACTACCTCAAATGAGAAACAGCCTTTTAAAATGCCAGTACAAGATGAGAAAAGAAAACAAAGTGTAGTGTCACAAATTTAACCCAAGTCATGGCCTCTAGCTTGGGCTGTGCCAAGTGACCTGGGAGTATTGAAAAAAATCTTTCTGACATGTTCAGGAGCTCCCTTCTCACCCAACGAAGCCCACTTCCTCCTGCCTCTGATCTTTCTCTGTTTCATTTTGCCAGTGTGAAGATTAAAGCTTATCCAATTAGCCACCCACAGCTTTTGCCAAGTTAATCACTTAAATCTTTGAAATCGTCACAGCACAGTGGAGTGTACAGATAGCTTTTGATTATAGGAGCAGATTTAACTAATTAAAAGGCTTAGCAATGTGCCCAAATATAAAAGATGTTGGGGGGTTATAATCAAGGGCTGCGCTTCTACTTAACAAACAGCAGCTTATCTTCCCAAATGCATTGTTTCACTGGTTCATTCTTATGAAATTTCCCAAGTAACACAGATTAGTCAACCAGACCTTTCTGAGACCACCCCCGACATTAAGGCTTTTAAGCCTTGGAACAATCATCAAGAATTAATTTTAAACAAAACCCAAGTCATGTGACATTGGACTGTGTGATTAAGCACATTTTCTCGTATTGATATGACAATACAGTAATAATCTTTGAAGTGTTTTGAGAACCTCAGCTTGGATTCACAAACTGTTACTAAGTGTGATTTATACATTTTGAAAGCCACTTACAGGGGACTTATACACTCTGCATAGCAATATAGTGAATGTTCCAATTTGTCACTCCAGGGTGTTTTCATTTTATTTGCTACGCTGACCCAACAGACTATCGTCAGATTACTGAAATCTGACTGACTACTCCCACAGACTTGGGGTAAGGGTTTTCAAGTTTTAGTATATCTACACACACAAATGTATGTACACTAGAAAAACATGACAGATATCCAGCACACTACTTATTTTATTTATTTAAACAACTTATATGCCACCCCATCGCATGAGCCTCGGGGTGGCTTACAATCATTAAAATCCCATATAAAATACAAAAAAATCATCAAATTTTTTCTTGTAGCAAGCTAAATGCCTGGCACCAAATGCCAGTTATATAAGTAAAAATGTTCAGCAATTCTGAAAGATGTTCAGCTTGTGATACGGCAAGTCTCCATTGGAAGAACCTCCATAATATAGCAATGGCTCTGTGAATAAGGAAGTTTCTAGGAAGGTTATTTTAATCACTCCTGTGGCTGGCATTAGTTGATGTTTTTAAATATAGGAAGATAGTCAGTTCTTTCAAGGGACAAACACTGTCACCATCCCCTTTTTATTTCCTATTTTTACTATTGTATCAATAAACGCTCCAGGAGCTAGCAAACACATCAAACTCCTCTTCTCATAACACAAAATGACATCACATTATCACATTGCAGTGGCAGAAGAGTATACTGAGTCATGGCAGTCATGACTGAATCATGAAACTCTTCACTTTCAACTTAGACTATAGTGGGAAGATTAGTATAATGCTGAGGAAAGGTTGGATACAAAAGTCATCCTGGCCAGAATGGGATGCAAAAGGAAGTATGGGGACACTGAAATAGTAGGTTGGAAGCATTTCCCTTTTATTTCCCAGGGACATGTTACCCAATCACTGCTACAGGAAGCTACAGATGAGGACTTAAATGAGCAGATAACTTTTCTTATTGCAATGTGAAAGCCCTGCTGAACAATTCTATTCTTGCCTAACATATATGATTAGTTTTGGAAAAAAGTCCCATAGGAGCTCTTTTTGCCTCACTCTGTTACAGGGTGTCAATTCTCATGTATTGATAACTTCAAATATTTACAGATTTGTTTGTTAAATGTCTAGCAAAGGAATAATTTTATGCATTTCTTCTGCTGTACCATGGATGCAAGAAAAATAGTAAGATGGTAGGAATGTTGGACAGATTTTCCAGACACTTCATCTTTGCTCTTCCAAGATTTTTTCTGGATGGTTTATGCCATGAGCATTCAGTGCGCAAGAATGCATACACAAGATCCTCTTCTCACACATGCATATTGAATGGATAATTGAATAGCAATGGAAGAAAATGTTTTATGTTGAGAGAAATAACCCCATTCAGGCAACTATGCAAATAGCACATTTTTTGTTATTGGGAGCTGTGTCCTAATTAAGGATGACAACGTTGGAAAGTAAACTACTTTTGTGCCACATAAAGCAATGCTCTGATATGCATCATGGCCCAAGTTGTCACTTAAAATAAGAATTAGAAGCACCAAGGCCAGTGTACCACACCAAGAGAACTCACATTAAAGCAGATTTCAAAGGATGTAGTCATTGAATGGTGACCAAACATAAACGGAGATTAATTTTGAGTATGCCTTCACAATTGCGCACCATGAGGACAATAAGACATGTGATCACTGATGCAAGAAGGTTAATGAAGGGGATGGCTGTGTTACAGGGGGGATGAAACAAACTTCTCAAAATGTGGAATGTATTTTATGGATGGATCAAAGAAAGAAACGTGGTGCCCTTACGCATATAAGAAGAACCAAAGGTAATGTTGACTCACACATTCAGAATAAAATAACCTTAACCCCGCTATACACAAGTACACAAGACAGCTACATTCTGAAAAGGGAATCACAAAACCATGTGCAGCCATAATGAAACATTTCTTTTAAAAAATCTAGCTTCTACCCGACCAGGGGATGGGCTCACTAGCTCAGCAGCTAATGCATCCTGAGGAAAAGAGAAGGACTACAGATTTAAAGACCAGCTGAAATGGCTTTTGTTTTCAAATAAAGATAAGTATTACAACTTTAAATTTTTTTGGCAGGCCAAAGGAAATCTAATACCTCCATCAATACCCACAATTCTAGTAACTAGCAGCCTTTAGCTGCTTTGTGGCATAACTGTGTGCCCAAAGTGATATTTAGTGTATTTTTGGTTCAGAAAGGGATAAATGAGATTGTTTAAAAGAGTTTAAATTTAATGGGAACCTTAAGGTGCAACTTGCATTTCTGAGGGTTCAGGCACAGATGGATCTGCTCATCGATCATATGCTCCTCCTGGTGGTGGTTCACTAGTGCTGATTTTCCTTATCCCAGCACAGAAACAGTTCACAAGAAAATGTGAAAGGCTCAGCTTGTGCTATTGCTAGAGCATGCAATAAACAACAACTTGGATCACATGTTCCATCAACATGGAAGTCATTGCTAGACTGGCTTTGCATGCACAGTTAAAATAGCTAAATGAAGAAACCAGCATACAAGAGATTTAAGGATTTACAGTGCTTACCTGGGGATTACAAGGACATAAAACAATTAACGGATTAACTATTTTTTCACAGCTCTTCTCTCAGCAACTCAGACTTTCCAAAAGCTATTTTATCCATCTAAAATGTCTTAAGCTATGCATACATGCTTTAACAATTCCAGACTTCTACAGCATTAGAAAAACTGAAACTGCTTCAAGCATTTTTTAATTCTATCACATTCTCATTCATTTAGCTCAGGGTATTTAGCATGTATTTGAATGTAACAATAAAATATAACTGTTAAATATTACTAGAAGATACAGTGTGCCATTAGTAACACAAAACCGACAGCTTGCTTTGATTTGCCTGACCAATGCTATATGACTACCCTCCTCCTTTCAAAACTCTACTGCAGGTGCTTTCTTAAAGCAGAGATATCCCCATATTCAGACAGCTAAGTGTATCCATAGAAAGCCAAATAGAAGCAGTGCTTGGGAATTCCAAAGGGCAGATACCTTGAAGTGCTAGATCACATGGCATAGATTTGCCAGTTATCTTCCTAACAATACAGCAGAGAACACAAAGCTATCCTGCTTAGACCCAACTCCACACACATGCATCCTGTCTACCTGATTCCCTCACTCCACACATCATGTCACTTACTGCCAGGTTGCGCAAAATAGAGCTGCCAGGTTGCTGACGGGGACGGGGCGTTATGCTCACATGACTCCAGTCCTCCATCAGCTTCACAGGCTTCCCATTGAAGCCCGGGCCCAATTCAAGGTGTTGATTATGACCTACAAAGCCCTAAACGGCTTGGGTCCTGGCTACCTGAACGAGCGCTTACGTCCGTATATGCCCGACCGCCCTTTGAGATCTGCGGGAGAGTCCCTTCTCCGGGAACCCTCCATGAAAGAAATTAGGAGAGTAAGTACCCGGAGGAGGGCTTTCTCTGCGGTGGCGCCCAACCTATGGAATTCACTCCCCAAAGAGGTCCGCCTGGCACCGTCGTTACTGGTTTTTCGGCGCCAGGTAAAGACCTTTTTATTTAAACATCATTTCAATTGTTAAAACATATGATCTGGCCTGGGCAACTTCTTCTTCCTTCTCTTTCTCCTCCTATATTTTTATTTTATACTGATAATTTTAATTTTGTATTTGTAAATCAATGTATTTTTTGTATTGTTATATTTAATGGTAATTTATTATGTACTATTGTATTTCAATGTATTTTATCATGTTGTAAGCCGCCCCGAGGTTTCGGCAAGGGGCAGCATAGAAATGTTATAATAATAATAATAATAATAAATTCTGACCCCTTCTTGTTCCTTCTACAGTCATTCTAACTTGAGGTTCTGTTAGTGTGACCTGTGTTCATTTCTAACTTGGCTCTGCTAAACTCTGCTTTGGCTTGACTCTGGTTCTGAATCATATTGACACTATGATCTGGGTCTTTTATTTTGACTGGCTTAGATGCAACATATTTCTGTAATGTTTTTTCTTGTTCCTCAATGCAATATTGGCACCCAACCTTGCAAGCCTATTTAAGAATTAGCAGCTGAAATTATGTAGCAATGGGCTATACACAGCCACTATAATTCTTAACAGCGTCTGATATATCTGAACTGGTCTAGTTGCTTGCAGCAGGCATGAAAGCTACTATCCTGAAGAAAAGAGAAACTGACCAAACATCATCCTTGTAAACTAAATGGGTAGATGACAACAGGGCACCAAACAATGGGTGCTTGAGAGGTGCACTCAAGTCACAGCTTCTGTCATGCACTGCTCACATAAAAGCAGCAATACCATACCTTATTACATCTGGTTCTATGCCTTCATTTTTGAAAGATGCCTGAAGCTGTTGGTGTCGCGTAAGAAGGTTATCCACTAAGTTCTGCCGTCTGTCCCCTTCGAGCTGTGTTCTGCAGCAACTGGGTTAAGGTTCATTGTCATAAATAAATGTGGAAAATGCCTGTAACTCAGGTTGTAAGTATTAAAAACAAACAATAAATCGCGTCATATAGGAATGCTGTATTCATTCAGCCAAAAAGACCTGCACACAAGCCTATCAGTCTACTAATAGCATGCTAGATTTAGACACAAGAAACCCATCTAACTTCCGTGCTGACTAAATAAGGAAATGTAGGTTTCTGTCAAGCATCACTGAGTAGTCATGATTGCTGCCCTGACACTGTTTGTTTTTAAGACATGCGTAAAATAATGTGCATATGGAAAGGTACTATAAAACTTACAGCAGCACTTCTCAATACTCACAACAACTTGCAGAACTGAGGGCAGACTATCATTTTTATAGTTATTTTCCACATACAAAATATTTTACCATTCTTACCTCATGCTTTATGAACCTATAAAATGCAGGCACCTTTTCTAAACAAAGCATGATGTTACAATGGTTCTGATCCTGATTCACATATTCAGCCACCTCAGAAGGTGTTTCATTATAATGCGACTCATAGGCACAGCTTCCAAGGAGACACTTGCTTAGTTACTTACATGTGAGCAACTGGCCCCACTTAGATCTGAAATAACATTTACTGCATTTAGTTAGGAATGCTACAGTGAAGTGCTTGGAGGTACTAAACAAACACAAAAAATAAAATAAATATTGCAATATTTCAGCACTTGGGTTTTTCACACATTCATTGGGATCTCCAAAAAACACATAAAAGTGAAGCAAAATAAAAATGATGAACCCACTCCTGTCTTCCTGGTATCACGAATGTTTACACAGATACATTTGTCGTGTTGATACAGAGTGCAACAACAGGTCCTTCAGACGATCAGTCTTTTCTTTAAGATTTTGCAACAGTGACTTGGCAGTAACATTGAGCTGAAGGGAGACAAGGAGGGAGAGAAAATAAGTGAGCCTACCTCAGTGAACTAGCCGATAAGACCATCCAAAATATGAAGCCAATAACTAAAATATATAAAAAATAGATATTATTCTTTTGCCATCCAAGTAAGGAATTGCTATTTATGTAGGATAGTTTAAAAATCCATCAGAGTTCTGGGTTGCTAAACTTGAAGGTAGACCTACAGACTACTTCATGTCCCTGCTGTTCTCCAACCCCGGTAGAACTTTTGCCTTTGTTTAGCAATGTTTCCTAAAGCCCTTTTTAAACATCAGCGTATGTGTTGAAAAAGGAAGCCAGCGGTGCACCACAAATTTGGAAAAGGCCACTCTACTTAGGTAATGTCTACTACTGAGAATCCATCAACTCTTGTCAGTCCTCATACCATACCACAGTGCCAAGGAAGTTATCCTGGACAGCCAGGCTGCCTGGTCCAGTGAGGAGAGCCAACCATCTTAGGAAGAGAACGTGACCAGAAGGGCCTTGCTTCTCAACCACAGTAGACTGTGCCTTTCTGAAGAACCTGAGGCTAAATCATTCATCAACAACCACATTCTGGGTCAGGATTTCATGTGTAGCACAGCAGCTCCCTTGCTGCGATCTATTGAAAGTCAAAGAACAGTGAATTGTGGAAAGGTGGCATAAACTGACAGTTAATTCAGCTAATGTCCAGGAATTCCCAGAATCTCATGTCACTATAATCTACGATAATGAAGCAATGACATCCACTCACAAGACCTTTCCCAGGCTACAATTCATTGTGAATCAGCAGCTCCATGGCCATCCAGAGCATGAGCATAAGCATAATATACATGTATGGAAGATTCATGAACATCTCTGCACTAAACACATTTACTTTAGCATAAAACTTACTGAGCTAAATTGGATTTATTTCCATACACATATGCTTAATAACAGAGAGGAACCTTCTGTTGAGGACACACTCAATTAGAAGACATTTCTGCAATGCAAGAATAATTTCAACTACATGAGTTGTTGTATAAGCATTTAACTATCTTCTCTGCCTGCAATTTATAAGCAAAGAAAATATTTTTGACAGATGATGTCTAAGTTAATGATCTAACCACTTTAAAAAATAGGTATAGTTTTTATTGAAAATATTTCCTAGTCTTCTGTACTTATACAGAAGGACAGATAGTCAATGAAAGAAAGAGAAGAAGAGGGGGAACACAAAAATTTAGGAGCTACTACACTTTTGAACAGAAAAGAAAATAATTATTTTTCCTTACTCCCTCCATATCTTTTATCTCTCAGTTCCAATGGGAACAGAATTGCTCACTTTCCATTATACATGTTTTTAAATGTTCAAATGCATGGAAGTGGAGAAAGTCCAGAAAACAAGACAATGTTGACATTTTCCCTATTTTGCAGATATGGCAGAAGGACCTTTTTATTTATTAAAACTTTCCCTGGACACAGATCTGCTGAGCAGACTGATCTGCTGAGTATTTTTCAAAGTCAGCCCATAACACCAGTTGTTATGGCAATAAATATTGCCATTGCTGGAAGCCTGTTTACACTGGATTCAAATGCTGGCTACCTACTTGCTCACTAAGCAAGCATCTCCAGCTGTACTAACTCACAAACATGGAAAGTTTTCTTCATAAAATTGCTTGTCAAATAAGCTGTGCATTTTGTAACCTGAGACAATTCTTACAGTACAGGAAGAGCATAAAGGAACATTAGGTGGTCTTGACACAAGACACAGACTCACACTACATGGCTGTTCTGCTAATAGATTCCTTCTTACAGAAACATGTCCTCAAAGTATTGAACAAGCTGTTGTCCAACAGGAGCAAAAAGGGTACTTGAGAAATACTTAAGCTATTCCAGGCCAAGAAAAGAGCCATCTCTGAAAACGGTTTGAGGTAGAATTTTAAAAGTGGTTGACTTTTAACTGCAGAATCTGAAGGCTGTTTCACACAGCAAAAATGCTTGCGATAAATACGTTAGTGATACATTTATGTTTCTTACAAATACTTAAAATATAAATGAGAGAAAAACATCTTTGCACAATCTTCTTTATTGAAGTGGACTCCTGACTGACAATCAGGGTATATCTTTTCTGTTTCAAGATTAAAATTATGGCAATGAGAAGCAGTGCCCTGTCCTAGCACTGGACTTCCTTTTGCTAGAAGCCAGACACAAGCAGTATTTGGCTGAAGGGTGAAGCAAAAGTCCAGAACAAAAATTTTCCACACAATCATCTTTTGTAAAATGCTATGTAATATTCTGGGACAGAGGCAATTAACCTGTATTAAGGTTCACATTCTTTCTACCTGTTACAGAGCTAGAATACAGACCTAATAAGGAAATGAAAGCTTCTTTACTTTTTCTGGAAATATGTTTTCCAAAATTTATCCCAACTTAGCCCAAAGTCACTCCATGAGCTTCATGGCCATTTACAGATGGCCCCACAGGGTTGTTGTTGTGAGGTTAAAAAGAAGCTATGTAAACCACCTTGGTTACTCACAAGAGGAAAAGAGGTACCCATTTTATCATACTCAAAGCAGGTAACCATAGTTGATAAAACCAACATAATGGGAAACAGAATATTACACAGCATTGCCAGTTCCCAGGGGCAGCATCCAACCTTACCTTTTTCTTGTGTTATTGACATATAATACTAACATAGCTGACTCTCTAGCACAACAATAGACTCAGAAATCCCGGTGTTCCAGCAAGCATTACTGACGTTCCACTACAGGCAACTTATACTAGTGATATGTCAATGGCATAAACAGAGCAACAGTGGTGAATACTGCCCTATAAGTCCAATCTTATGAATACTAAGGCTGTAAGTATTGGATAAGCCTGTAGGATAGCATTTCCCAACCTGTTCTCTTCTGGATGCACTGTGTTACCAGCCTCATCATCCTCAACCAATGACCATGCTGGTTGCAGATGACGGAAGATGTAGTCCAACACATTTGGAAAGGAAGAGGTTGGGAGAGGCAGGGAGCTCCACAGTTTTGACAAAGTCACTAAGAATACTTTTCAATGGATTTAGCACACAGTCTACTCTGTGAAGGGAACATTCTCTGTTGCTCCTTAGGGAATGTAGCAAAAGGTCAAGCAAAGGAAGAGAGTGATTTCTGAGGTATGCAGCACCTTAGCTGTACTTTCACCATTCCTCTGATATCTGTTGCGTTCTTGAATTTTTTCAGCAAGCTCTTGGGCAGTATGGCAAGCGGAATCATACAATGACAACCTTCAAAAAAAAAAAAAAAAGACACACTGTTAACAATGAATACTCATTTTCATCTGTATATTTCATCAAAATCAGTGTATTCAATTTCAACTTTTACTGCTAGCTTCCAGCACCCAAAAAAATCTAATTTAGTGTCAAATATAGTGAATTTATTTAGCTTGCCTGTTTGGTATAATTTTATCTGCAAAATAATTAATGTTCTTTGGGTGGATTACAAACAGTTAAATAATACAAGTTAGCAAAGAGCACTGGAACATACAGAGTTTTTGAAAAACAGCCATAAAACTGGATCTCTAAAATGCCTGGGACAAAAAAAGTCATTGCCTAGTACTGAAAAGTTAATAATATAACCATCAAGGAACTTCCTACAGGAAGGCATTCCATAAACAGGGTGTCATAACTGAGAAGACTTTCTTTTTTAGCCACTTGCTTAACTTCCTTGGGTTGCAACACCCAGAAGACAGGCTGTAAAGGATTCAAGTTGATACATAAAGAGAAGATTAAAAATTAACACCAAGACTTTAAACTGGGTTCAGAAATGAACTGGAAGCAAGTGCCCCAATGAAGTACTGGCATCATATAAACATTGTGAATAATCCCAGTTACAATAATCCCAGGCCTAGCAGCTTATTTAGAATATCTTTACGGATAGCCCCATATACAAGGAACTGAAGTAATCCAACTGGAAGGGTAACAGAGCATAGGGAAACTATTGCCAGGCTATCTCTGGCCAGGGAAAGTCACAGCTAATAGAAGTACCTAAACAGATAAAGATGTTCCTAGCCACCGAGGACTCTTGTGCCCCAAGTGATGGTGATGAATTTAGGAGCACTCCCAAGCTACGCAGTTGATCTTTCAAGGGGAATGCAATCCTCTAAAGAACAGGTTGAATGGTTAACAGCAGCCCAGTCTTGCTTGTACTGAGCTTTAGTTTACTTGCCCTCATCCAGTCCATTATCCTGCCTCACCTCAGTTAGATGAAAGGAAAATTAAAGCTGGGTATCATCCCCAGACCACAACCATCCACAGTTTTATGGACATGTTGAATAGCTCCATGGACAAAAAAAATTAAGCCCTGCAGAGCTGCATGACATATTTTCCATCAATTAGTGCAGTAATCCTACAGCACCACTTCTTGGAAACAGCCATCCATGTAGGAATGGAGCCAATGTAAAACAGCATCCCCAGTCCAGAGGATACTATGATCAAAAGTACTGACACTACTGAGAAAGCCAAGAGAACCAATAGGCTCACACTCCTCCATCTCTCTCTTGGCAAAGACCATTTCACAGGACAACCAAGGCACTTTCTATTCCGAAACTTAGTGTAGAGCCAGGTTGAAATAGCTCTAGAAAATCAACTTCATTCAAGAATGACTGCAGTTGATTAGCAACCATGCACTTGAGCACCTTGCCCAAGGAGGAATGTTAGCAACTGGTTTACAGCTGTCCTGAGTACCTCCTCTCTCAAGGAGGATTTTAAAACCTGCTGGACACAATAAATGTCCCCTCTTTATTAAATATGAACACCCAAAAGAAGGGTTCAGCATAAAAGCAATTAAATGCATGCAAGGGCCTTTTCTGTATTTTACTGCCTTGACAATAAAACTCACCCAATACAGCTTGACCAAGTGATGCTGTGAATATCTCTGTTAATGGAAGTGCACTAAAAGTGAAATCCAAGTCATGCTGGATAGGAGTAATTTATCTTTAAACTGTCTAGCAGATTTATCACAGGAAAATAATTGAGAGGTACAACCAACTCCTTCTCAGGGTTAGATTGTAGTAACCCCTTCACCATCAGAAACACCTCAGTTGAATGGCATTGTGAAGATGCAATAGAGGTGGAGAACTTATTTGCTACCCTCACTGCCACAGAGCAGGCTTGATAATAAGCTGTAATTTTTAGTCAGTCAGATTCACAACAGTTTTTTTCCACTTGCATTTCAGCCAACATTTTACATGCTTTATCAGCTTCATCTCCAAGATGTGCAAAATAGTTCATTGTGCTCTGCCAAAGGGGAGAAGGCACCCAGGCTTGGGTGTGTCCACTGACCCAGTCAGTTCTTCATTCCATAGAATATTAAGTGTTTTGACAAAGTACCAGTCATATTTAATGGAAAATCCACCAGATCGTTCTGGAAACCAGTAGGATCCATTGGTCATTGAGGCAATCCACTCAAGTAAGTTCTCTACCCTCATGGAGGAGAAAAACTGCTTAAAGTCTAAACCACAACAGACAGTGATCTAACCATAAAAAGATAAATCCCACTAAAAGCCGACCCTCCTCCCAAAAACCCCCCATGAATCCAAATTGTGATCTGCTACATGTGTTTGGTCAATGGCACGCTGGAACAGCATCCATGAAGTTCCGATCCACACCATCTCTGGTATGGATTTTGAAGGTTCCCAGTTCAATCATCCTGGAAGTCTCTCCAAGAATATCTCTGTCAGCTCAGGCAGGCAGTCAAGCAATGGTATACTGGAAGAATCCCTAAGCCAACACTTAACACATTCAAAACCGACACTCTAATATCATAGAGAAAAGCAAACCCATTTCCCCAACCTGCAAGTCTGTGTAAACACAATACCATATACCCAGGTGTGCACAAATGGGTTAGACTAACTTCCCCACCACACAGTCATCCACCCAGATCTTGGTTATACATTTGAAAGTAACCCCTTATCCACAAAATGAATGAGATTTTATTCTGGACCAACCTGACATTTAACAGCAGTACCAGCAAAACTTAAGGGCAAGTTGGTAGATCAAGCAGTCCAGAGGACATCCATTTGTAGGGGAAGATCGTTAGATGAAACAGGCATGAGATACCTGCTCCTTCCTTCTTAAATGATATATTAACCTCCCAACACCATACCATTCAACAATTCAAGATAATGGTTTTGACATATAAAACCTTACATGGCTCAGTACCACAGTACCTAATGGAACACTTCTCCCAGTATGAGCTTACCTGAAACTACATTCATCACCAAAGTTCCTCCTCCAGGAGCCTACTCTGAGGCAAGCTCAAAGATGGGAGAGGTCCTGGTTTTCATAATGTAAAAGGGATCTTTAGCTGGGTTTTCTCCTTCAAGTTTTTGGAAATTATGCTTTAAAGAAGGCCCAGTTCCCAGTTATGCAGTAATTAGTGGATCTAGATCTCCAGTATCTGAAAACTATAGCTGATAAATCCTCTTCCCTAGCACTATAAATAATCCTCCAAACTATGGATTTGTTACCATTTCATATCTGCATAGTTAAAGGTTTTAAAATACAGGAAAGTATTTATGCTCACTTATTTCAACATGTTGCCCACTACACTGTTAAGAAAGAAGTTTAATAATATCCCAGTTAACACGTATCCGTGCCTTTGTGGAATTGGAGTAATACAATCTGTCAATCATGTAGTTTTGTGCTGTAATCTGGAACTACTAACTGCTATCACCATCTAGCTCCCAGTTATGACTCCTCCTTTCCACAACTGCCACCAGAGGGGCTTCTGAGGAAGCATTTTCCCTAAGAAGATGTGAGAAGAAACAGATTAGGTTTGAACTCAAAAAAAGAGAAACTACACAAGAGAAAGGGGGTGGGGAAGAACAGGAAAGAGGAAGTAATGTCCAGTTACTTATGCTATGAGATCTACTAGTATCTCATTGAGAGCTCTTTTCAGAGCCAACAGACAATATAGAGTTGTGTTATAAAAGAATGATCAGTGTGACTTAATATAGGAATTGCTATTACAGGCCTGGTATCAGCAATCAGCATAGCACTGCCATCTTTGATTAATTTTGTGAGCATGCTCAGATGTATGTACAAGCTAAAGAAAGCGGTCACCTTGGATGGCTGATAAGGAAAGGGAATACTGGTGTTAAAACAGCACATTTGACCATATAAAGCTTTGACTTACCTCCCCTATTATCACATCTTTGAGAGCCCAGAGATATCCAGTAGGTGTGGCAACATTGGGGAGAGGAGCAAGCCAAGTGAAGCAGTTTGCTTTTGAAGTAGCTGCTACCATACCAATCTCCAATCTCCTGTGTCTGCTGTTCTCCTCATAAATAGCAGTACTGAGGCCTGAGTACTGGCGGATATCAGGTGGTGGACTTGGGCCAGAAAAACACAACTGGGGGACAGGAATGCACTACTGGTCTCTTGATCAAAACCCAAAAAAGCCTTTCTCACACAGAGACACAAGCTTGTAAAGAACTCAATAATGCAGCGCAGTGATGTGCTTACACTGAGACCCAAGAGTTCACTATAATGCACAGTGCCAAAGTAAATACAATAGCTTTGAGCCAGGCATAAAATTAACCAATTCAAATCAATATGGTTAGTCTTGGCACTCCCACCACTTCTAGTATAAAAGCAATTGAGTCCAATTTCAGCACTGGTAAGATTTAGCTTAGGAGGTGCAGGCTGCAGTTCTGCCTCCAGCACCACACCATTGGTCCATTCTGAAAGTTTGCCCATTTGCGCTAGCTCCTTTTATTTTTAAATAGCAACTGCTGGGTGAGAACTCTTAACATTTTATTCTCATGACTTGGTTGTGATTTTAAAAAATTCAAACTGCCCCATTTCAAACTTCTCCACCTCTACACAAAAACTGTTCTAAGTTACTAGCATATTATATTTAGGTATATTATCCATCATAACCAAAAGTCTCATACTAGGTAAATACAGTTAATATAAATATGCAAACCCTAATTATTTAAATAGATTAGTGGATCTTTGTGCCCAAATGGACTCACACAGTAATACAGATCTCTTGGGTGCACAAACATACACATTTAACGAGCAAGCCATATGTAGTTGGCATGTTTAGCTGCAAAAGTGAGCAGGGCTATTACAGCAGTCAGAGAAATGCTTTTGGCGGGGACAATGTGCCAGGCATAAAACGGGTACACCTGTTAACATCCTCTCCGCTACAGAACTAGCAAAGATATTTAACTGTAACAGCTGTCGTCGCCCTCTTCCCATCTTATCGTTACATTTCTGAAATGGGAAATGTTCTGGAACATTTCTGTACAAAAGAATAACTGTATACTGAATCAAAAGAGAAAAGGTAGAACGAGCGGGAGGTGAATAATATACAGAAAATGCAGCGTACAGTTCCTTCCCTCAGCTTACCATTAGCTAACGGCAGCCAGATGTGATATTAAACGGGAAGGGGAAAGGCGAAGGAGGCCAGCCACCCGCCCAGCCCAGCCCAGCCCGAAGCCCTCCTTAAGTTGAACGTTACAGCCCGAAGGAAAGTCTCCGTGACCTCGGCCAACCCGCCTGCTGGAGTTTCTCTCCCCACCATCACGCACCAGGGGTCCGGAGCCATCGCAGCGCCCGACAGCCCGAGACTTCCAAAACACGGTCTTTCGGTTTCTATGCCGGCAACAGTTCCGGCTCAGATCACCTGACTATGGCGAGGAGAAAGGCTCATTAGACCTACGAAAGGTGGAGAAACGCGTTCTACACCCGAGATTACAGAAGAATCGATGGGCAGAATGAACAAAGCGCATGCGTTTACTTCCTGTCACTCAAGGCTCTGCGTAAGAGTGATTGGCTATTTCAATGAACCGACAGTGAGAGGGTAGAATGTGGAGATGTTGGACTGCATTTCCCATCAACACTAGTCAGTATAGTCAACGGGAAGGGATGGTGGGAATTACAGGTCAACAGCACTTGGAAGTGTACACGTTTCCCCTCCCCGCTCCTCACTTCCAGACAGAGACTTGAATTTGCTTGAAGCGTGGACGTACAGAGGCACCACTTTGTTTCTCGGAGGGCAGTGCCTTCTCTGTGAGCATCTTCTGATGAAGTCCGTGCAATATGCACTGAAGTTCCTATTCTTTATCATAGAATAGTCGAGTAGGAAGGGGGCAAGAGGGCTATTGGGCCCATCCCCCTGCTTACTGCAGGACACCCAAGTCAAACCATCCCTCTCAGATGGCTGTCCAGTTGCATCTTGAATGCCTCCAGTGTGGGAGAGCCCACAACCTCCCCAGGTAATTAGTTCCATTGTCCTACAGCTCTAACAGTCGGGGCATTTTTCCTGAAGTCTAGCTGGAATCTGGCTCCCCGTAACTTGAGCCCGTTTTTCCATAAAGAGATCCTAGCCATCCTCTGTGTGACAGCCTTTCAAGCCCCTCAACAGCCTTTCCTGTTGTATTTATATTGTATTTTTATTCTATTATGTTTTATGGTTCTAGCTATTGTTATCTATTTTTATTTGTATTTTCTATTACTGTTTTATGATTGCCCCATGAGCCACCCAGAGAGCATTCCGGCTATGGGGTGGCATACAGATGCGATAAATAAATATTTGAAAACTGCTATCATACCTCCCCTCACTCCACATCACCAGGCTAACCATGCCCAGCTCTTTCAATCTCTCATAGGGTTTTATTTCAAGACACCTGATCATCTTTGTCATTTTCTGAATCCCTTCCAGTTTGTCTACATCCACTTGAAATGTGGTGCCCAGAAGTGGACAAAAAAAATACTCAAGAGGGGACCTAACTACTGCTGAATAAAGGGGAACCAGTACCTCACATGTCTTGGAAGCCATACTTCTATGAATGCAGTCCAAAATAGCATTTTTTATTTTTTGTGGGCACGTCACATCGTAACAAGCTTGCTTTATTTTAAAGCATTGTCTCATTATGCAGTGGGATTGCTGGGCAGTTAAAGAAAGAGGTTCATTGAACACAGATCAGCATAAAATCTGTTTATATTTATTTCTACCTACATATCCAAATATAGAAATAGCTGCTGGGATTTATTTAAATTTGGAGATGAAACCAAATAACCTCTACTATATTATTCTTCAGTTAATTTGAATTTTGCCCTGATCATTCCATGCAAATGGAAAATGACATGCAGCAGCCGGTAGGACAGACATAGTATGTGGGATGGAAAGGTAGGCCTTCCCACCCCATCTGTAATCCTCCTTGAAAATCATCCCTTGATGACAATGAAATGTGCCACCTATAAAACTGTGTGACAATAAAATGTTGCATCTTAAACTGTCATGTAAATCATTAGCAAGAGGGCACTATAAAAAAAAATGATGGTTGATGTTTCCATTGTTACTGCCAAGTGAGCAAACACTTTTTCTGGATTCATCTGCCTCCCCCATGCTGGTTGTGGCATACAGGGAATTGTTGTGCTTTTTTGTCTAAGCACGCATAGAATTTCATCCTGACACACATACTTCCATTAGCACCAATGGAAACTTATGGCTGTAGAGAATAAAACCATGGCCCCAGGCAAGGGATTCAGAGCCAGGATCTCATGGCCCACCATTCCTGCCTTCCTCTCTTTCATTTCATCACAGCTCCGTGGATGATCCCTAGTTCATTGTCCCTCATCCTATAATTCCCAACATCACAGGCAACAAAATCACATCTGTATCACTTATTTTCAAATGTTTCTACTGGTGTTTAGGGCACAAACCTGCACCAAATGACCTGCTAAATTGTTGCCACACATTTATTTTTGATTTCATTAATGCATTACTTTGTGACAAATGTGGCACTCATTTATAAATGGCTTTATTGTTTCCAGGATTCTGAGGTCCTGGATTGCTTCCCTTGTTTTGGCTAGGGATGCTTCTAGATGTTGTTGTTTTGCCTCATTATTGCACTGTAGATCCAGCCATTGTCATCATCCAGTAATGAACCCTCTTAATAACTCTCTTTGGTTTCCCCACCACTTAATCATTTCCTTTACTGCAGAAAATGCATTAAGGAGAAAAAGACAGTATTGCTGCCCAGTGCTTTCTAACTGGCAGTGCCAAAAACACTGTGTATGGAAGCAACCTAACTGTTATCAGAATTTTAAAATTATGCTCTGCTAAACAATGTCAATCTTGAACTCAAAGGCACCATAAATGGAGCTAAACAGAGCGCTTCCTGGTCCTAGCCTATTCTTTTAGTTGCAGCCTGGCATGTAAAATTTAGCTAGTAAAGTTTTTTTGCCATAGAAATCAAGTTCTAGAGTGTTATTCCAGGAAAAATTGGCCTCATATAAATACTTCTCTGTTAGAATAAAAGTAAAGTGAAAATTGTTGTAGAGAAGATAGATTCTATTCATTAAAAATTGTGTGTGTGTGTATATACATGTGTGCAGTGCTCGAAACTTTATTGAAAAGCTTTATTGACTGACTGCTGCTGCTGCTGCTGCTTATCAGTCTTGCAACAAGATAAACACCTTTTCCCAGTTAGTAAAAATATTAAGAACGTAAGAAAAGCCATGCTGAATCAGGCCAGCATGCCATACACATGGTAGCAAACTAGCTGCCCACAGGATCCCTCAGGTAAGATGGGTGCAAAACCTCCTGCCCAAGCTCCTCAGCAACTGGTGCATGCAGGCATGCTACCTCTTATAAAGGAGGTAATACATCACAAGCAAGGCTAGTAGCCACCAATAGCTGCCACCTCCATGAATCTGTCCAATCTCTTTTTAAAGGCATCCAATTGGGTGGCCATCACCACTTCCTGTGCCAGCAAATTCCATAGTGTAGTCATGGGTAACTTCAGGGTGGGCTTCCAAAGGAGTGCTTATTCCCCCAGTAATCCCCCACCCCCCACTGATTCCCTTCCAGAAGTGCTGGGTCACACTGATCAAGAACAGAAACTTATGCATGGGAGATCTAACACTTCCTAGAGGAAGCTCAGAATCAGAAATGCGCATTTCAACTCATTTTCCATTTAAGTTGCCCCAAAAGCACTAAATTGTCATTGCACAAGCAACAGGCACCACATGCACAACAGAATCAGTGGGGTGCAGGAGACGTAAGCTGTCTGTCTATTTATCTACCTGTCTATCTGATTTTTAGCTCACCCTATTAGCCACAAAGGTCCCTTGGCAGGTTACAAACAAACATGTTATATGGGGACATAAACATTCTGTTGGATACTGGATCAGGTTAGAGGGATTATACTGTAACTCCCATGAGTCCTACCCTACAGAACCAATAGTCCGTGACAATGGGGGTTGTAGTTCAAGAACATTTGGAGAGTTACAGGTTCCCCACCATTTATATAGATGGTGTGTCAAATGCAGTTTACAAAACTGAGCTGGCCAAGGAGCAGGGAGCTGCAGGGTTTGATAAAGGAATGGCAGGAATAGAGAATAAGATCACACTTCAACTAGCTAACCTGTGGCAAGTACAGAATGACTTTGCCGAACAAAGGGGGAAGGTGTCATGTACTGACAACTGCACAAAGGAGAGGCAGGACAGTTTGGGGCAGGAGGGTGAACCAGCCCTTCTTCCGTGGTTTTGACACCAGCCTGACACGGAGTCATTGAGCAGATGAGCCTTTTCCAATTACTTCATCTCTGCAGCAGGAGAGGCTGCACCTGCTCCGTTTATGCATGTCAAGCTGCTATCAGAAGCACGGTTTTTTTATTTAAAGTAATAACACTAGGGAAGAGAAATGCTTACAGGGGGTATTCCCTATGCACAAGCTTAACAGGAATTAGCACAGATGCATCTCTCTAAGCATAGCCAATCTGTTATCATGGAACAGAGTGAAGGCTGAAATCTTAAGCATCCTTACTTGGGAGTTCCACTGAATTCTCTGGGAGTTACATCCATATAAACATGCACAGAACTGAAATACAAGAAGGATTCATTCAGCTAGATTTTAAATGTTTAATGCAGAGCAGTTCTGGTTAGCACATCCTAACCTGGAAGCTGAAGCTTCCATGGAGAGTGTGATGTCATGGTGTTTAGAGTACCAGAGACCTGGATTCAAGTCCACTCTCAAACTCAGTGGGGCTGACCTTGGGACATCACTCAGTTTCGCAGGAGAGCATAACCATGGAGAAGAGAGCATAACCATGTATGCCACTCTGAGCTCCTTTAAGACAGAAAAGTACACACATGGGATAAATAATCTTGACCAATAATGCCAAAATCACATTTTCAATACTTGCAGGTAGTGGCAGAAATAAACTTGATAACCTTAACATGCCCTGAAGGCACCCTAACCCTAACCCTGCAAGGCACAATAGTTCATGGAGGAAAATGTGTGTGAATCTGGAAACATTTTTGTTCAATAAATTGTTTTGTTCAATAAAGTGATAGGATGTAGTAGTCTCCCTGTGGGGGCTGAGTGCATTTTGTCTGCTACTGAGTAGAGAGTAATGTTCAATAAAAATAAATGTATGTCAATTAATAATGGCTATTCGTACTTAGAACTCTTTCACCTGCCCTTAGCACATCTGCTTTCCCTTGATCATATCGGAAAGGCCATGAGATGAACTGTTTGAGTATACTCATTCTCCAAAACTGATAATCAAGATGTTAATAATCATTAACAGGATACTTCTGTGCTTGAAAACAAGGGGTCAACCATTTAAAAGTGTCTGTGTTTACAGAAAAGTATTATATCCTCAGTGTCATCTTCCAGGCCCATT